GCACAAATGCGGGAAGAATTCTTCAGTTTTTGGTCAAGACAAGACGAAATATATTAGATTTTCTCATAAAGAGAGACCATGCAGTTTAGATAACTATCTAAAATTGGCTACAATGATCATATACAGGTGGATCTATACCTGCTGCCGCAGACAGCATTCCCAACAGGTGGACTATACTTCAAGAACCAGTCATGGGTACAGGAAACCAAGGGAATGCATGTTATAATACATAATAATTATATCACAGGTTTTGAAAAGAAGATTAAGCGTTTCCGAGATTACGACCTGTGGTATGTGGATGATCATACTCTCGAGTCCCCTCTTGGACGAATATGAGAAGTTCATAGGTGTCATCACAATTCTTCCTTCAATTCAAGGTACATTCTTTTAGAAATTGTGCAGCCTTAGCTACATGTAGTTGAATTTTGAATTTTCCTTCTTCCTGGCAGTCTCGTATTTTTCTTTTGCGGTTTGTTTTCACAGTGATTCAATTAGTGGAATGACAATCATGCAACTGCAGTGAAGCCTGTTCTGTTATTGTTTATTAGCATTCGGTTAGAACTATATTTCATGACAACAAAGTAGCAGCATATAGCAAGATTATCATCATCATTCATTGAACATTTTCGATTATTACCAGTATTATTCTGAAAAACTCAGTCTCATTGATCAAATTCCTTTCAAAATTCTGTTTGTGGAAGTTATTTCACTTGGAACTTTAGTAGGGCTCTCCATTGGAGAATTTACAAATTTATGACATTCATGTATGACCAAACGAACTCTTGCTAGAAACTAAAGAAATGAAATGATATTGAAAGACAAAACTAACTCCACTGCCCTTTCATATACTTGGACTCTCTCTTATCTAAGTGCATTTAGGTTCGTACACTCAAAATATTGCCTACCTTCATCTATTCCCTTTTCTCATGCTTTTCTTTTTGCCCTTTTCCCAAATATTAGGAGCATATCTATTCTTGCATTAGGTGAGCTTTACATGCTCATTAGATCTGAAGGCTTGGATATCATATTTATTTCTCTTTGTTATACATGATTAGGTAGAAGGATATAGCAACGATGAAGGAAAATGGGCGTCGATGACGGAGGAGGGAGAAAGAAAATTCTGAATATTGAAGTTGAGATTTTCCATTTGGTCTCGGAATGGAAAACGTAGGAAATTCTTGAAATTTTGGTAGTTGTATTCAATTCTTGGGAATAATTCTTCTAATTTCTGTAAGGTTAATTTGTATAACTCATGAACTAGGTGAACGCAACTTGAATCTTATTAGCAGAGGCATCTCTTACTCTTAGATCTCTAAACGATGTTCCCTCCTTTGATTTTAGGAATAACCATGTATGTATAAGTTGTTGATTATGTATGCTACAACAACCCAAAATTTCTTAATGGTTTTTGCACAAAAATGTCAAGTTCTAACACTATTTTTGGTTGTTTAAAAGGACGTATACCCCTTGGTGAATGGAAATTCGAAGCTTAAAAACTAGCGTTTTAAGGTTACGATTATTGTTAAGGAGAAGAAACACGAGAAAGTTTCAAGAAGGAAGAAATCGAACATGTTCGATTTTTGAAGGTAGAAATAGTGGTAGTTAGGAAACCCCTAATCTACCAATTTCTAAAGCAGACTATTACCATTATTGATGTCATAAACTACTTTCGCAAGTCTTTGCATGCATTTTAGTCGTTATAGTCGTTAAATATGAAGTACCATTATTGTAGCAATTAATTTAAATAATTTTCACATATTATCATTTTCGTGTTGAAAATTGTTGTCATGTATTATCATTCTTATTTTGCATTTGGCTTAGTATTTGGTTTCACTGCACCAATCAATCATCTTTGCAATTTATATTGTTCCCAACCTCACTTATCATGGGTATCGCTTCCGTTGCCATTGATTCTTTTATCGATCATCCTTGTTTTCTCTCATATCAATTGTGACATCTCAACTATTGCCTGTAGCCTTAGTTGTCTTTATTTTTTATTTTCAATTCAAATGTGTTTTGTGTTCGTTTTGGCTTCGTTTGTTCTCTTAGAAATTTCGTTGTCATGCGTTCCTAACTATTTGTGTAGGAGTAGTTGTCACGCATCATCGGCTACCATCAATAACACATGCAGTTGTGAGCGAGGAGGAGGGACAAGAGAAGAACTACATTTAACGTAGTGGATTTTAGGAGTTACATGCAAGGATCTCATGTGTTTCAGTCTGACTAGTATGGTTCAATTCATTTAGACTAATTTGATCTTATTAAGTTGATTCGGTATGGTTCATCCAAGTTTTTTTTTTTTTTTGTTTGGCTAAGGCCAGTGAGCTTATCTCGCCTCATATTTAAACTAGAATTTTATGGATTAAGTTTTTTTTTAAGGGTGTTTTAACTTGTAAACGGATTAAAAATAAATTTTCTTGAGATTGAACTATGGTAAGGTATTTTATGTCTCGATGACCACTATTTTACATATTTTCTGAACCAATAGATATGTGTGCGTGTAGTTGACTGTGGGATTCTGTTTTTGATGTACACGATACAAATTCATTGTATTTATGAGACCTCTTGCGTGTTTTGAATGAGATAGTATTTCTCAATAAAATTGTACCAATTACCTCTTAAGATTATGGATTAATTGTACCACTACGGGCTCAAGCTCGTTGTCCCACATTTCGATTCCTGGTGTCAGTCTAGTTGGCCAAGGTTTTGGGTCTAGTCTCAAGCTACCTTGATCGATACTTGTAGATCTGGACAGAGGTATGTAGATGCTTGTCACAATCTAGTTGGCCAAAGTTTTGAACGAGATAAAATGCTAGTCGGCCCTTTTATTAACGGTCTCAGGTCCCCTGATTTATTTTATATTTTCCTTGTGTGTATGCATATTTAACCCTAATAAAAAGGTTACTTTCGATACTCAACCTTTCAAGATATTTTTCATATAGGAGTAAGAGCGGACAAGTTCGTGACAAAGCTTTTGTGAGAAACTACTCTCATGTTTTGATCATGCTTCCACATTATTCAATGGTTATTCAATATATTTACTCTATTTGCAAACTTATGTTATTTGTTCATGAAGTTTTTAATTTATTAATGAATTTTGATGGATTTTTTCAAAAATGTATTTAAAGTGGGGTATTTATTTCTCATATGAATTTGTATCTTGTATATTTGCGTTTGTTTTCTTTTAAAAATAACGTCGAACCCAAACACCAATAAATTTATAGACTAATTTAATTAAAACAACGACCTTGAAATTAAGTGCAATTTTATATTTATAACCTCCCAAACCTTTTTTTTTACGGGTTTTATTTATCAAAATAAAAATAGCTTAATTAAAACGTATTCGCAATTAATAGGTCATGAATCTCTCTATCTTTATGCAGGGTCAAATAAGTTCGTCTCTTCTCTGTTGAGATATATTTATACACGATAATTACCGTTAAATTTTTAATTACTTCTAAATATATTGTTAGTAAAGTATATTGAAAATGAATATCAACAGAAATGTCAAGTATATGATTATATATTTAATGTATTAAATAACATTGACTTTCTTATAATAAAAATAATAAAAAGCAAATTGACTTTGAATACTTTTAGTGTATATTATTGGTTGAAATTGATTCTATTTTTGTATTAAAAAAATTTGTTTATTGTAACTTCAGAAATAAATAATAAATAATAAGAGTAGTTGCTTATTTTATTATAATTTCTTTTTTTAAAAAATAAATTTTAACATTTATTATGCCACGAGATAAATTTTTTCATTTTGAAGTACGAGCCTCGAAATTTCAGTTTGAAAATATGTCATTTGGAGGAGGAAAAATCAGCCACTACAATCAGGTGAAGATGAAAGATCGAATCGATTTGGACCTAACCTGCATCCACGAACCGTATTCGAGACGCACAAACGTAGAGCTTCAGCCTAAACGCACGTCTTCAGCCCGTAGGGACAATCCATTGGTGGACACGGTCCCATGAGCGCGCCTCCAGCGTTGTCCCCATAGTTGGACGCAAAATTTCACACATATTTTAATGTGTTCGGATTCTATCAATTTTATTAATGGGTCTTTGATTAATTATTTAATTATAATAATTCATCAAATATATTTATTATTATTATTATTTGTCAAAAGAATATTAAATAAATAAAGTACTTATTTACTAAAATAAACAAATAAATAAATAACAATATCTTGAATATAATTAATTAATTAAATTGAATGAATTAACCTATAAAAATGATCGTCAATAATTATAATTACAACAAATTAATTATTTATTAGGATTAGTTTTCACTATCTCATTCATTAATGTATCATAATTTTAAATAAAATTAATTGACTCAAATTAAAACTATAATTAATATAAATATACTATAGCCAGTACAAATTAATTAAATATTCTATTTTTTTTTTAAGTTTTTCTATTTTATTAATAAATTATTATAATTATATTATATTTATAATATATCTCACTTAACATAATTCATTTTAGCATATAAGTGTACTATTTACACTTATATAATTTATTTTATTAAAGTCATTTATTTAAGAATAATTATTAAAATTGATGACAAAATAAATTCAAAAACTTAAAATTTAAGTTACATAAATGAAAATTAAATTATTTTAGTAATTTAGTTCAATAAAAATAAAATATTTAAATAGAGTTGTGATAACGTACCCAACACATTTATTTGATTCACAAACAAGAATTTAAACATAATTTAATTTCTTCAGATAGGTAAACAAAAATTAATTTTTAATTTTTTTTATATATATATTTGTTAATATATAATAATAAGAAACTAGGATCAAAACTCAAATTAAACTTGTTTTTAGAAAAAAAAGAAAAAAAAGTATGTAAATCTGTCTAAAAATGGAGTGTTGCAACAGTAGCACTGCTAGAATCTTTCACTTTCAGAACTAATTCTGATTTGTTTATTTTGATGTAATCTCAAATTAAAGTGCGGAGCCCTATATTTAGCAAATACCCACCATTTTCCAGTAAAATCTTTGAAAATCTTTGATTTTCGAGACCCATTTGGAATTGAATTTGACTCTTGACGACGATGATGCCCGCATCCACATCATCTCTTTTCAATCCTCGTTGGTTCTCCTTCACTTGAGCAATTTCACCTCTCTTTCTGTGTTCACTAGCTCACAAGCATCCTCTACTTTTCGCCCTCAATTTACTGCTTCTAGTGCCAAACCCGTTGCAGCCCATTTAAGCAATTGTCGGCGATTTCTGGGTCATTTCTGTTTTGATTCTGAATCTCGAGATTCTCAGGTTTCGGCTGTGAATTTGGTGTTATTTTATGCGATTGATTTTGGGATGTTGAGTTGAGGCGTTTTACTTTACTGTAATTGGATGGAAGCAAATGGGTTCACTGGAAAATGGATTTCCATTGAAGAGAGACCCTTTTCTTCGTTCTTCATCAACTAACAAGGGGGAAAGATACTCCTATTTGCAGAGACCTAGATCGAGATTTTCCCGGTTTTTGCTTTTCCAAAAGTTTGATTACTTGCAATGGATTTGTACTGTGGTTGTGTTCCTTTTCTTTGTGGTTCTTTTTCAAATGTTCTTGCCTGGATCAGTCGTGGAGAAGTCTGAGATTTCTTTTAAAGATGCGAAGAGAAGTTTAGGGGATTTGAAGTTCTTAGAGGAGCTGGGCATGTTGGAATTTGGGGAGGATATTCGATTTGAACCATCAAAGCTTCTGGAGAAATTTCAAAGGGAATCAAGAGAAACAGGGTTTCAATCTTTGAATAGGACTAGAAATCGTTATGGATATAGGAAACCTCATCTTGCACTGGTGAGTTTGCTACTCAATCCTAGCTATGTTCTTGAATTGTTCAAATCTTTGGGCCTCTTCCATTTATGTTCTTCCGTGGACTGTGAATTCTTCTCTTTAACTTCATGTCTTGTGTAGATTTGACAGTGTTTATGGATTTTGTTCTTCAGTTGAATGTTACTGAATGCATGCCTGATGTTGTTTGATGTTAAAATTCACTTGAATATCATTTTCTCCTTAAAGGTATTTTCAGATCTGTTGGTTGATTCTTATCAAGTGCTGATGGTAACCATTGCATCTGCTCTGCAAGAGATAGGATATGTATTTCAGGTAATTCATTTGTTTTCACATTGCCTTCTTTAATCTCAACTTATATTATGTTGTTTACTCTTGGGAGATTTGTGAGAATATTTAAGGAAATGTGTAAGCATTCTGTATTCTGGAATTTCCCGTTCCATATATAGTGAAGCAGCTGATACTGTTGTTTGTACACCTTTAGAAATTTCGCACAATTGTTTCTGTCTTGATACCGTTGTTCGTACACCTTTAGGAATTTCACACAATTGTTTGTCTTGATACCGTTGTTCGTACACCTTTAGGAATTTCGCACAATTGTTTGTGTCTTGATACCGTTGTTCGTTCACCTTTAGGAATTTTGCACAATTGTTTCTACCTTGATACAGTTGTTCGTACACCTTTAGAACTTTCGCACAATTGTTTCTGTCTTGATACAGTTGTTCGTACACCTTTAGAACTTCCGCACAATTGTTTCTGTCTTGATACCGTTGTTCGTACACCTTTAGAAATTTCGCACAATTGTTTCTGCTTTGATACCGTTTTTCTTGCCAATGGATGCAAGGCTGCGCTTTCAATGTAAATAGAAGTCAAGAACTAAGTTTATATCAGTTAAACGATATCTGTCATAGAGATTATCTGCACGAGCATATAATTTGATGTCTCAATTGTTTGCTCGACAGGTTTATTCTCTTCAGGGTGGGCCAGTGAGTGATATTTGGAGGCAGATGGGAGTCCCAGTTACTCTAATTCAAACTTGTGATGAGACTGAGGTCATGGTTGATTGGCTAAAGTATGTTAATTCTACTTCAATATTTTGACTTAATGACATTTATGTCTAAAGCGTTCTATTAAATAAAATTTGTATTGTTTCTAATCATGTTTATGATGCTTTTTTCAGCTATGATGGCATACTTATGCACTCTCTTGAAGTGAAAGATATCTATTCCTGGTAAGAATTAGTATAATCCTTCTTTTGGTACCAACAATAAGTATGGACATTTGATTATCATGATATAGTATATCCTACTTCATAAAACCCTGGAGTATTGTTGCCATTTCTTTAATAGGCTTTCTTTGAGTTACATTAAGTAAAGATGGTTTTTTTGAGCTGAGTTTTGGGGCACTCGTTCCCTTCTCCGATCGATGTGGGACCCCCAATCCACCCTCCCTTTGGAGTCCAACATCCTTGCTGGCACACTGCCTCGTGTCCACCCCCTTTGGGGCTTAGCCTTCTCGCTAGCACCTCGCCCAATGTCTGGCTCTGATACCATTTGTAATGGCCCAAACTCATGCTAGTAAATATTGTCTTCTTTGGGCTTTTCCTCTTCGGCCCAAACCATGACAATTTCTCTGTCATTAAAGGCTCGACAACCAGATATTAGTTCTTCTGATCGTAAGCCTAAATTAATTTCTAAAGAAGAATAATTGCAAAAAGCTTTGGAGAGAGCAGAACATGAAGAAGCTTGATATTTAATAAGATCGAACTTTTCATCGCAACTCTTGGAATTTTGAAGAGAGGAAAATAAATAAGTAAAGAAGAATCTCGCTGAGCGTACCTCAAAAGAAATAGGCTTTCCAAAGTTGTTTCGAAACATATCCATCACTGGATTCCAAAATAATGAAATTCTAGGATTCAAACTGCAACCTTTCCTAAAAACTCGAAAGTACTAAAAAGGTTCTTTGTTTTATTTGTAACGTTTTAACTAAGAAATAAATTTTGTTCATGTATTCCTTAATTTTTATGGTACAGTTTATTTTTTCTTTCTAGTTTATTGTTCTTTGTTTGCGTTTTTGCCGCTACATTAGTGTTCTTATCCCAAGAATTGCCTATATGTCCATTATCAATCCATCTAATCTTGTACTAATAGTGAACTTATGGCAATATGCGGAAGTCTATTATTTAGTTCAATGAATAGTGTTGCTTGTTTACAGTTTTCTGCAGGAACCTTTCAAGTCTTTACCGATTATCTGGACTATCCGTGAAGAAACCCTTGCCTTACGCTCTCAAAACTATGGTTCAAGTGGGTTATTTGATCTTTTAAATGATTGGAAGAGAGTATTCAACCATTCAACTGTTGTTGTCTTTCCCAATTATGTCATGCCGGTAATGGTTGCTTAACAAGATTAAACACAGGGATGAACCAATTAATTAGCCTGCAGAAAAAAAAAGAAAAAGACTTGTTCACTAAGAAATTTGTTACTCGTAAATCATCTTTAAAATCATTTCCTAGCAATGCTTGGTTTTTTGACAAAAAAGAAGGAAGAAAGAATAATTTCATACATTGTAAACCTGTGATGTAATGAAGTTGTTAATTGGTTTTATTGAATCTAAAACTTCCACAGATGGTCTACTCTACATTTGATAGTGGGAATTTCTTTGTGATTCCGAGTTATCCTCCCGACACATTGGAAGCAGAGATTGATATCACCTCTCTGCGTGCGAGGATGGGCTATGCAAATGATGACTTGGTTATTGCCATTGTTGGAAGCCAATTTTTGTACAGGGGTATGTGGATGGAACATGCAATGATTTTGCAGGCCATATTACCACTACTTCACGAGTTTTCTTTGGATGAACATTCGAATTCTAATCTCAAGATCTTTGTTCTAAGTGGGGATTCGAACGGCAACTACACAATGGCTGTTGAGGTGCATGTCAGCTTTGGTTTACATCTCTCATTAATGAATTGCTAGCCTTTATTGACTCGTTCGGTTTTCCTTAGGCCATTGCTCAGAGACTGGAATATCCAAGGAGTATTGTGGAGCATGTTCCCGTCGATTCAGGATCAGACAATGCTCTAAGCATGGCTGATTTTGTTATATATAGTTCCTTTTTGGAAGAACAATCTTTCCCACAGGTTTTGGTGAAGGCCATGGGCATGGGTAAACCTATCATTGCTCCAGATCTTGCCATCATTAGGAAATACGTACGTTTCTAATTTCTTATCGTACAACTCTTTGATACTATGCTAGGACAGGATGGTACTTATTTCTTCTTCATATCTGTTCGGATACGTCATACATTTGTTCTCAATCATTGCTTACGATAAGAAATAATTCATAACTAAGAACCAATATACAACAGAAAGGGGTGACTACAATAATAAACAAAGAAATTCATTTAAAAGATTCATTATATAATGATCCTTGGTTCTAACAGTTGGAATTTAGTGTTTGAAGGATGTGATTCATGTAGAGAAGAAGGTAAAATGTATTTTACCTGTTCTTTCATCCTTTCACATTTGAATGTTTATAGATAGACTTATCATCCGCTCTTTATGTGCTTGACTTGATACTTGTATAATATCTCTCTTTAAGATTCTGTGTTCTCGCTTATATGACATATTTTTTTGGTTCCTTGTTGCATCTTCCCACTCTTCTCCCACTCATCTCAAGGATTATGTAGCATCAGTGTTCTTGTTAGATCCCACATCGGTTGGGGATGAGAACGAAACACCCTTTATAATAAGTGTGTGGAAACCTAGCATACGCGTTTAAAAACCTTGAGGGAAAGTTCGAAAGGGAAAGCCCAAAGAGGACAATATCGGCTAGCAGTGGGCTTGGGCCGTTACAAATGGTATCAGAGCCAGACACTGGACAATGTGCTAGCGAGGGGCTGTTCTCCGAAGGGGGATAGACACGAGACGGTGTGCTAGCAAAGACGCTGGGCCCCAAAAGGGGATGGATTTGGTGGGAGTCCCACATCGATTGGAGAAAGGAACGAGTGTCAACGAGGACGCTGGGCCCTGAAGGGGGGTGGATTGTTAGATCCCACATCAGTTGGGGAGGAGAACGAAACACCCTTTATAAGTGTGTGGAAACCTCTACGTAGCAGACACGTTTTAAAAACCTTAAGGGAAATCCCAAAGAGGACAATATCCGCTAGCGGTGGGTTTAACCCGTTACCGTTCTTTTAATGAGGGGCTTTTGGAGGATCTTTGGGATGTGGCTTAGTATGACTCTTTTGTGTTTCTACCACTAAATTGCTTAGGGGTATTTCCGATTTTCGTTTACCAACAATTGGAATTCCTTGTAACTTTTTCCCTTTTTGGCAATCCTTTGAAATGATTGAAGTCTTCTCTGTGTGGCCTCTTCTTTTTGTACTTGCATATTTAATGAAAGATACTTTTTTTTTTAAAGAAAATATTTATCATACGTGAAAATTCCGGACAAGCTACTGACTACACTGGCAATAACAACTAGGTTGATGACAGGGTAAATGGCTATTTGTTCCCCAAGGGAAATTTCTATGTACTTTCCCAAATTATTATGCAAATGGTCTCGAAAGGGAGATTATCGCCACTGGCTCGCAGTATTGCTTCGATTGGAAGAGGCACTGTGAAAAATCTGATGGTTTCAGAAACTGTGGAGGGATATGCCTCACTACTTGATGCTGTTCTTAAGCTTCCATCAGAAGCTGCACCAGCTAAGGAAGTTGCTGAAATCCCTTTCCAACTGAAAGCAAAATGGCAGTGGAAGTTATTTGAAGGGGTATCAAATTTGACCATCCTGAACAGAAACGAAAGAAGCTTCACGATTTTAGATGAATTTGAGAAGCACTGGAACCATTCTAAAAAACCGAAGCCTTCTAGTCTTATTGCTTTTAGTGAGTCGTTTGTATACGATATATGGGAGGAGGAAAAACATACGGCGACGTCTAATATCAAAAGAAGAAGAGAGGAAGAAGAGGTAAGATTTTAAGCAGCACATCCTGGTTCTCTATAATTTATAGAGATTTTTTTCTTATTATCACTGTTACTTGAATTTGACAGATCAAAGATAGAACGGAACAACCTCATACCACATGGGAGGACGTGTATCGAAGCGCTAAGAGAGCTGATCGGTCTAAGAATGATTTGCATGAGAGGGATGAAGGGGAGCTTGAAAGGACAGGACAGCCATTATGCATTTATGAACCTTATTTTGGGGAAGGAGTTTGGCCTTTCCTGCACCGATATTCTCTTTACCGTGGAATTGGGCTGGTGCGTAAAAATTTTCTCGTCGTCTTGTTTTCTCAGTTCTGCTTGATTGTTTGGTTCGAATATAAACGAAAATGGCTTCTTATTGTGTCTATGTTTGCAAGATTCGTTGTCGTTACCATCTGAATGTTGATGTTAAACGTAATTCTTGCAGTCTAGTAAAGGCAGGCGACCTGGGGTAGATGATATCGATGCACCTTCACGGCTTCCACTTCTCAATAACCCATACTACAGAAATGTACTCGGCGAATATGGAGCCTTCTTTGCAATTGCTAACCGGGTTGACCGCATACACAAGAATGCTTGGATTGGTTTTCAATCTTGGAGAGCAACCGCCAGGAATGTATGTGACGTCTCTCTATCCATGTTTTCTCTGAAGTTTCCTTCTTGAACTCATTATTATATTTCTTCTGAAAATAAGAAACAAACCACTTGAACTTTAAACAGCTGGTAAGTTCTGTGTCCATGCATTAGGTTTCTAGCTTGGCTGCTACGACATGATCTTTAGATTATTTTCACAAACGTAAACGCTTAGACTATTCGATAAAGGATTACAAAACTATATCAGCATATACCTACCGTTATCATTTCCGTGAGAAGAAACACCCTTTTATCTAACTGATGGTGTGCTTTGAATAGGTATCACTGTCAAAAATTGCCGAAAGTGCATTATTAGATGCAATTCAAACCCGAAGGCATGGAGATGCACTTTACTTTTGGGCACGCATGGACTCGGATCCAAGAAACCCGCACCAGCTTGATTTTTGGTCATTTTGTGATTCTATAAATGCTGGAAATTGCAAGTAAGACCTGAAAACATATGTACAGGAACATCTGAACTCTCATTATACAGTCTTCTAATATCAATTCTTTGCCTATGCCCCTTTCGGTAATAGGTTTGCTTTCTCCGAGTCATTGAAGACGATGTTTGGTATAAAAGGTCAGGAATTCTTACCGCCCATGCCTGCGGATGGTTCTACATGGTCCGCCATGCAGAGCTGGGCTCTGCCAACCAGATCTTTTCTAGAATTTGTCATGTTTTCGAGGTTCGGAAGAGATCTTGTACCCTATCTTTATAGCACTCTTGCTTAAGAGTTCCCATTCTTGAGTTTTCTTTTTGTCTGCAGAATGTTTGTTGATGCCCTGGATGCGCAATTTTACGACGAACACCATTCAAGTGGACGATGTTACTTGAGTTTGTCCAAAGTAAATTCCCTCTTCTTTTTAGTTTCCCACATGTGAACATCGAGTTCGCCCTCTGTTTGTGCATTTGTATTGTTTTGTTGTAAATGCTAGAGTTGTGTACTTTTTCACAGGACAAGCAGTGCTACTCCAGGCTGCTAGAACTCCTCGTAAACGTTTGGGCGTACCACAGTGCAAGGCGTATAGTGTACGTCAACCCTGAGACTGGTGCAATGCAAGAACAACACAAGTTCGATATACGAAGAGGCCAAATGTGGATCAAATGGTTTTCATACGACACGCTAAAGAACATGGATGAAGACTTGGGAGAGGAAGCAGATGCCGACCACCCCACAAGACGGTGGTTATGGCCATCGACAGGTGAGGTTTTCTGGCAAGGTGTGTACGAGAGAGAGAAGAATTTACGAGATCGGCAGAAAGAGAACAGAAAGAAAAAGAGCAAAGCTAAACTAGACAGAATGAGACACAGAAGACACCAAAAGGTGATAGGGAAGTATGTAAAGCCTCCACCAGAGATGGAAAATTCAACCACAACGATTAGTACAGAAACTATTTTGAAAACTAGTTAACTTAAGTAGAGCCTACTCTTAAATTCATTTCATTTTTAACATCTTCATGTATTTTTTTTTCTCTAATTTTTTCTGGAAGGATGTCTTCATGTTCTTTTTTCTTTTATTTCATCCTTTGTTCAAATGGTCTTGTTATTATGTAGAACATCCTTCTTGATTGGTGCTATTGTATGTTCACCCACATGTATTATATATTTCTATTTGTGTTGAGTCCATTTTTATGGCAATTCTACTCCTAAATGCAGTATAGGGTGTTGTTGAGGATGTCGAGTCAATTCGAGTTCGGAAAAAATAACTAACTCAACTCGAAATCCGAGTCAGTTCCATAAATCCATAAACAATTTGAAGTACTCTGTTTTGCAGACCTCTCAATGGACTATTTTACAGTAATAAGCTGAAGTATTAGTTATTAAGAAAGATCATGATCACTAGGCAACATAGATGCATTTTATTTTTATGAGAAACAAATATACAACGAGATGAAATATTACAAAAAGGATTCCATCACAGACATATGCATAATGCAGATCGTAGATCCTTTCAAGCCTTTATCCGACCATTCAACGTATGCTGTCTTGGCATAGGCAAGCCACATCCTCGCCTTTGTTTCTTCTTCCTTGCTAGCCTTTTTTCCAAGTCCTTCACTCTTCCGCTCAGTTTTGATATGATGGCTATCTGTTCTTTGCCAGCCTCCATCAACTTCTCCACCATCTCTCTCATTTTCTCGTTTTCTTCCACCAGTTTCTTATCCATCTCCTTTTCAGTACCCAAATCAAGTTTATTCGGGTTTGGCGAAGAAGGCAGTGACCCTTCACCCATCTGAATAGAAGGGCCATCGAGAGTTGCTTCATCAGCAGCATGTAACTCGTTAGCCTCATTGTCCAACTTGCTGGATAGCACAGGATCAAGTACAAGTGGCTCGTGCAGCATGTCTTCCGCCATTTTAGTTTCCACATCAGCAGTTCGTTGTTCATTTTCCTCGTTTACTATTTCGTTTTGGACGTTCTGATCGTGGTAGGATTTTGATAGTTCCTCTAGCAAATCTGCAGATTCATCACATGCTCGTCTAGCCTGGTCGTCTAACTGGCTGGATGGCACAAGCTCGTCCATTGTCAGTTGTTTGTTTCGCTCGGTTACCAACTTGTTTTGGATGTTCGGGTCATCGTAGTTGGAGTTCAATTCTTCCCCTGGAAATGCTGCAGTTTCAACAGATGCTCCTTCGTTTTCATTTTCGTGTTCTGTATAACCCAAATGCTCCCTGTTCTGCTCAGAGCCGACACTTGAGATATGACAGTCCTCCTCACCCTCAGGATGCTTCACATTAGAAGTTCCATCACTACTTCGTTCAACTTCCAAGTCATGTGCATTCTCTTCAGTCTCTGACACCTCTCCCCTTATCTCAAGTTGCTCAAGCTTGGCAGCTTCGAAATTATTTGGATTGGTGTCCTCTCTCATTGGAAGTTCCACACCTGCAGCCGACTGATCTTCAGTTTGTCCATTCTCAGCAGGTGCAGAAATATTAATCTTGTCAAGAACTTGAGGTGTTAGTCCTGTTTGTGCTCCCACTTGATCATCACAGACAGACCTCGAAGCATCAACCTGCAAGGAATCTTCTGCAGGACGAGTATCCCCAAAAGAATATGCTTGATGGTTTACAGCTTCTTTTTGCCTGTCCGCTTGAAGGACTTCCCTTACTTTTTGCTCTGCATCAGTCAACAACTCCACGTTCTGTTCCATCTCAACCTTTGATTCAGCCTCTTCACCCTCAAAATGCTTGGATAACTCATGAGACGACAATTCTGAGGTATCTTCATTTTGAACTTCAGATTCTTTTACTTCTACAAGTTGCTCTGCTTCATGTACCTTCGTGTTCTCATCGTTTACTTCAGGCAACTCGCTATTTCCATCCCCAGTTGGCTCCTGATGTTCTTTGTGTTGCTCTTCCTCTTTTATTTCATGACAAGTTTCTGTATCAAAATGTTCAGCATGTTTTTCCACGGCGGCTTCTTCCTGTACTACTTCTGTAGGTTTGTTAATCACCATGCAGTCAATTTTCTCCTGAAGCGCTACAAGTTCTTTCGCCAAAGACTTCCGGAACTCCCTTACACTCGGATACAGACCCTGTTCAATGCAAAATTTAAGAAAACAACTTAGGATAGCATTCAAATCAACATTTTATAAATTTTGAAGTAGTAAGAGTTCCAGATCCTACTTGTACTCTTTTTTCTTTTCAAAAAGGGAAAAAAAGAAGAAAAGGAAAGGGTCCAGCAGAAGACAAATACCTGTATGGTATCAAGTTTTAGCAACAGTCCCATTATCATTTCTCCAACAAACACTCTTTCTCTCTCATCTTGAGGAGGAGCCAATTCCAAAGCATTCACACGATTTTGAACCTCCATGACCTGTTGACGAACTTCAGCAAGTTGCCTCATCTTTTTCAGAATATCCCCTTTCCTAACTTCATAACCACGGTAGGCTGACTGAATGAGCACGGCAGCTTCATCATCCAATAAGTTAGGCTTCTCATTTTTCCCTTCTTCCTGAACTTTGTCCCCTGGACTTACCTCCGACCCTTCATCCACATACTTTTCAGTAGGTGCTTGGTCTATTGTTCTGTCCTTCTCCCCCTGTTCTTCTGTCCCTTCCTTGCAGAGCTTGTCAGGAACCTTCTCTTGAGACTGCGTTGTCAAGCTTAGTGGCTCTCCATTTCTTGAGATATTCTCTTTATTTCCATGATTACCATCAAGGCTGTCATGGGTTTTCACCTCAACTTCCTTAATGATCTTCTCGCTGTTTGGCTCTGCTATGGCGCTATTGATCTTTGAATCTAATTGAGTGTTTTCCTTAACATCGGTCAGTTTGGAAGGACTCTTCGACCTCGAACTGCCATTGCCATTCTTCTTCTTCGGAAGAGGATCCACTCTGAGACAAACAGGAGGCAATCTTGATTTCTTTGGCGAGGTTGATTTCTGTCCTTCAACATTATCTTTAGATGACTCCCCTACCTCGTTTTCTTTTGCAGTCTCCACCGCAATGCATCTCCTTTCTTTCTTTTTGTTGGCGTCATCAGTCTTATGCTTCACATCCATTTCAGGAATATTGCTCTGATTTATGGTCTTCACAACTTCAGGACCTTCACTTGTTGCATCATTTTTCTGCAAGATATTCGTTGGTACCAACTTCCCAACATTAGAAGGCTCTTCAGTGTATTTTGTAGGAGCATCCATATTTTGGACGTCCTTTCCAGCCCTCTCCTCTCTACCAAAAGTAGGCATCCAAATAAGAGGAAATGGGAACTCTTTTTTTCCATCCTCCGGTTGATTATTTTGCACACTTCGGCTCCCCATGCCTTCTGCATCAGGAAACCATGACCCGAGGCGACTCAAATCAGACAAAGGCCAGCCATGCCAGAACTTTGGATCCAAATTCTTCGTCGAATTCAAACCATGGCGTTCCTTCTCCTGCTTCATGGCTCCAGTTTCAGAAGGTTCTTTCCCTTTTTCACTCCCCACATAGTCAGGTGGAATCCACACAATTGGGGATTGGTTATTTCCTAATTGAAATGGAACCATCGACCCCTTTCTTTGATCGTCCGGTTTCTCCTCCTCAATCGTCACACATTTATCTTCCTTCTGCTTCTGCCCACACAAGCTGTTAGGACAGCCACAACAGTGATGATTCCTCATCATGTTCTTGTCAAACTCATACCTAGGCTGCTCTACATTATAATGCATGGGAGGAGCATATTGGACGTAATACGGTTCAGGGCACGGTGGATAACTGCCATAGCAGTGCATATGCTGATGGGGTGGAACAGGAAGGTGCGGTGGTCTGCAATTATAGTAGCCAGGGAAGAAATTACCATCATTACAACAGGAAGGTGGCATTGGGTAGCCATTAAGGTAGCCATAATGGCAACAGTTATGCCCAGAATCATGAGGAGGCATACATGATTTAGCTGGATCCATCATCGTGTAAGATGGGACACTTCCCATGTTCGGATACTGATATGGATTGACAGGCATTCGATTCTTCTGGAACGGCTGTGTGTCCATGTACCTGTACATGGGAATCATTTCCTCTAGCTGATCTGAAGCCCACAAAAAGATGCAATAGGCTTAAAGGAAAAGCGATAAGCTTGTTTGGCTCAGACAACTCGTGGGATCTTTGTAATTCCTGTTGAGAGTATCATCAAATTACATTGTAAGAGACAGACAGTGAATACGCAGGCAACAAACTATCATCTACACGATGCAGAAGATCGTCTCTTCGATTATATTGCCATTACTGTTCATAAGAACAGAACAGGGAAGAGTAACCTTGTAGATAACTTCGACCCAATTTCAATTTTATCAATTAAAATTCCAAACTAGGATGGGTGCTACAAACTTGCAATATGTTACTCCTCAAGACACGATTACAAAATTGTCAATAATCAATCATGATCCATACAAAATTCAACTAATGAAATACCAATTTATGTCACAAAAATGTCCAAAACCGATCATAAGAGAACTCAAACCTAGCCACAGAATCAAGTAATAAATTCTAAAATGGCTAAATTCCAACAGTCAAATCATAGTTACAAATCTATGAAAAATTATAACTAAACTAAACCAACTTGAACAAAGTTCAAAGAAATATATCCTTCACCTCAGAGTTCAAAAGGATAAAATAAGATGTTTACAGGTAAAATCCACACATTATGGGTAAGAATTCTTCCCAAGAAAATAAAAAGAGAGCATAACACCGCAGAATCATACATAAACAGAATCATAATACCATCTCAAATTGCAGAATAAGGCTTCATAAGATATCGAATCCTATTTAGTATTCGGATCGCTCAAAGCCCCGATTCAAGTTCCACATTCTACATTTACCATTCAGACCACTAAGAACATTCAATTAAAATTCAAAAAGGAAAGAGAATATGAAGAAGATATCATGAAAACTCACCTAGGATGCGATTTCTCGAACAAAAAAGAACAAAATCCAACCAATCGGTTCCGACACAATCCAGATGACTTAATAGATATCGGCGCAAAAACGGTCCACCAACCCAGAAAACGAAGATTCAAGTTCCTTTTGTCGCTTTTAGATCGATCCAAGCTACTCGGCGATATTAGATTTGATGATTTTGTAAGAATCTGCGCCATTTTATACGTCGAATTGGAAGAACGTCTCCGGTGTCTT